ACCACAACAGATGTCAAATCGAATCAATCTTGCCCTGTCAGTGTCTCTCAAGGCTGATGGCACGTCCCAAGATTCCCAAGTAAAAAAGAGGACTGGATGAAAGGAACAATTCTTTGGTTCCTCTTCCTCCCTCAAACCATCGGGGATCAAAGTCCTGGTGAGCCTGCCTTCAGGGTATCCCTGAGGTTTTCTCTTTCCCTTTAAATCTCATTTCTACCCCCCTTAGTGAAGGCTCCCTCTATTTCACACCAGGATTTTTTTTTTTTTTTTTACCTTCAATGTCAGCTGAGTGGACTTTAACATATTAATAATATAATATAATTGATTATATTACTATAGTAAAAACTAAGCCCAGAGATCTTAAGCAGACCCCCAAACACACTCTTTTTACCTCCTGGGGTTTAAAAGTTCTCCTTTCTTGCTGTATTTTCATGGGACAGGTAGGCAGAAAAACTAGGAGCCTAGGCGACCCTCTTCTCCTTGAGTCTGCAGATGGACTCAGAGAAACCAGTGCACACCCACTGAGAAAGTCAATGGCACTTGATGCTGTGGAGAGTCTAAACACAGCTTTTAATTTATAGGGTACGCAGGGATTAATTCTAAACATGCAACTGCTCCCCCTTGGTCATGGATTGAATTGTGTCCCCCAAAAACGTCTGTCAACTTGGCTAGGTCATGATTCCCAGTATTGCATGATTGGCTACCGTTTTACCATCTGATGTGATTTCCCTATGGATTGTAAATGCTATCACTGTGATGTAGTAAAATGAATTAGAGGCAGTTATACTGATGAGGTCTAAAAGATTAGATAGTGTCTTAAGCCAATCTCTTTTAAGATATAAAAGATAGAAGTGAGCAGAGAGACGTGGGGACCTCATACCAACAAGAAAGCAGTGCCAGAAGCAGAGCACGTCCTTTGGACCTGGGGTTCCTGCTCTGAGATCCTCCCAGACCAAGAGAAGACTGATGACAAAGACCTTCCTCCAGAGCTAACAGAGAAGAGAAAGCCTTCTCCTGGAGCTGACACCCTGAATTTGGGCTTGTAGCCTACTGGACTGTGAGAGAATAAATTTCTCTTTGCTGAAGCCATCCACTTGTGGTATTTCTGTTATAGCAGTACCAGATGACTAGGACACCCTCCTAGCCCCCTGTAAGTCATCATAGCCTGTATAATCATCTGCTTTCATCCTGGCAAGTTTTACACCAAGATTTTATAAACAGTTGCTGAGTGGTTCTAGGCCCCCAGGTTCTGTCCTCTCCTTTATATCTTATTATCAGTTCTGTTGTCAGGTCAAATCGGTTCTGACTCATAGCGACCTTATGTACAACAGAACAAAACACTGTATGGGTCATGAGCCATCCTCACAATCATTGCTATGTTTGAGCCCATTGTTGCAGTCACTGTGTCAATCTATCTCATTGAGGGTCTTCCTCTTTTTCGCTGACCCTCTGCATTACCAAGCATGATGTCCTTTTCCAGGGCGGTCCTTTTCCTGGTCCCTCCTGATAGCATGTCCAAAGTAAGTGAGACAAAGTCTCGCCATCCTTGCTTCTAAGGAGCATTCTGGCTGTACTTCTTTCAAGACAGGTTTTTTCCTAGATTTATCTTATAGCTAGATAGATAGATTCTCTCTCTCTCTCTTTCTCTTTCACTCTCTATATATCACTTTCCTCTTCACAAACCTAAAAAGTTTCCCTTAATGATCTCAGAATAATGTCCTAACTCCTTCACTTGGTTTTGGAAACTTGTCACAGACAACCCCAGCCAACTTCTCCACCCTTCACAATCACAACCCTCTTACCCAAACCTCCAGGCAGCCAGGCTCACCTGGTGGACCTGCCTGAAACACACCTGGGAAGTCTCGTTTCCAAGCCATTATCTCTTAGTTCTCTAAGACTTGAATATCCTCCCTGCTCCTCTCACCTGTATAAAAGTCTACCTCCTTCAAGAGAGAGTAGAGGATAGAGGAGATAGTGTGACTTTGGAATCGGAGCTAGATTTCAATTCTGGCTCTGTTGCCCACTAGTTATGGGGCCTTTTGGCCAATCGCTTAACCCTCTTAGGCCTCATTTCCCCATCTGGATAATGAGGATAATAATAACATACATACTATAAATCCCCCAAGGTTGTAGAGAAAATTAAACATAATAAAATATACAAAAATGCTATGTAAACTGGAAAGTACTACAGAAAAGTCATTTTTATTTCCACAGTCACTGCTCCCTCCCATATCTCTCCCTACTCCAAATCAGTAAAAGTATCATTAATAACAATTCTGATAATACTTTACATATGCGACACACTTTATGGTTTTTCAAATATATTGTACAAGCATCAATTCCGTTGTGCACTCCACTCATTTTGGCACTTAGCTTATTCTTGGGAAAGTGATATATCCTTTTCACATGTGTGTATTTTCTTCCATCTCCATTGTCAACTCCTTGAGGGCAGGAACTCTATCTCCTATCTCCATTCCTCATTCCCAGCCCAGAGCTCTAGAGTTGTTGTAAGCTGACTTCGAGTCAACTCCTACTCATGGCAACTTAATGTATAACAGAACAAGACCTTGCCCAGTCCTGCGTCATCTTCATGATTGTTGGTATACTCAAGTCTCTTGTTGCAGCCGCTGAGTATTTTGAGCGCCTTCCAACCTATAAGTCTCATCTTCCAGCACTATATCGAACAATATTCTGTGATCCACAGGGTTTTCACTGGCTAATTTTCAGAAGTAGATCGCCAGGTCTTTCTTCCTAGTCTGTCTTAGTTTGGAAGCTCCACTGAAATCTGTCCACCATGACTGACCTTGCCGGTATTTGAAACATCAGTGGCATAGTTTCCAGCATCATAACAACCCACAAGCCACCACAGTATGAAAAACTGACAGATGTGTACGGACCATACAGAGTAGGCACTCAAAAATGATGTTCTTCCAAAAGTAAGAGCCAGAGAGGGTTTGAATTCCATTTCTATCACTTACTAGTTGTATGGCCTACGATAGGTTACTTAAAAAAAAAATTCTAATGGCTCAGTTTCCTTCACTATAAAATGCGAATGATATTAACACCTATCTCACAGAACTATTGACTCTTCAATGAAACGATATGGATAAAAGACTGGCACTTGGTGAGTTCTTAATAAATGCTAACTGCTATTATTAAGTGAAACTAAGTATTCGAATCCATTCTTTTCTGGCTTATCACTTCAGTCCTTTTTCAACACCGATTCCCCCATGAATCTTCTTGATTCATTCATTCACTGGAACAAACATTTACTGAGCATCTGTATTCTGCTATGTGTAAAAGGCTGTACCTTGAATAAAAGATATCTCATTGCAGCTTTCTTTTGGGCCAAATGGTGCTAAGAAACAGAGCAAACGTCTGTATGTAATGCATCTTTCAGCCTTCCCCTCCTGTGTACTGGAGCAGGGAAAAAGACGGTGCTCCAGCATCATGTCACGTTGGGAAATTCCCGGTACAAAAACGGTATCCATGTTTCTTTACCAAAAGGCTTCTCAGAGCTGTTAATATGCTACTGCTGATCACTGATTGCTAAGAACAGGGAATAGACTTTGCTGTATTTCTTAAACTCATTTAACCATGGGGCCATGTATTTCACACTTTCCCTCAGAATCAGCGTTCTGTTGAATCTATTTTGAAAATGCTGTGTGGCAGTTCTGTTCCTATCTGCTCCTTCTCTGCCCACGAATTCATTTTGACTAACGAAAGCCATCCTTTGGGAATGCTCCACTTACATGAAACTCTTCAATTCAATTCAGCAAACACTAGTTATACAAAATCTAAACAGATCAGACTGCATTGCTGTAAATGACTAACTTCTACACGTACAGTTGTCCCTACATACTCAAAAATCACTTTCATTTTAGCAAATAAGCCCCTAAGCAACTTAAAAAAAAAAACATGGATTTTCATTAGAGTCCCTAAAGCTTCACTCAGAGCTTAATCACTCTTACCTTAACATAATCTTAATTCCTTAATTTTGTAATCTGTTTCCCAGTTGATGTTGTTGTTGTTGTCTTTAGCTGCCTTCGAGTCAGTTCTGACTCTTGGCAACCCCGTCTGTGCAGAATAGAACTGCTCCATAGGGCTTCCAAGGCTGTGCGTGATCTTTGGAAGCAGATCATCAGGGCTGCCTTCTGAGACGCCTCTGGGTGGGTTCAAACTGCCAACCTTTTGGCTAGTAGTTGAGGGCTTAACTATTTGTGCCACCCAGGCACTAGAAAAAGCAAAATCAGACTAGTAGAAGGAAATAGACTAACCACAGAAAGAAATTACAGCTGAGGTGCTGCCCTTGAAGATGAAGATATAAAAACTAAAAAGTCAACACAAAAATTCACAGCAGTTTAAGAACAAGTAGTGCAGAACAAAACCCACTAAGGACCTAATAACCCTGACGACTTCATCACATCACCTCCCAGAACCTCTGGGTGATCAAGAAGAAGTCAAATTCCATTCAAGATACTGGATTAAATAAAGCAAAACAATATATAATACATTTTACTTAGAAAGCTCTCCTTTTACAACAGATTTTTTAACTAATAAAAGTAAGACTGGATGAGTCAAATGGTCAATCTTATGTTTTCTGGAACTTTCTGGGAGAGGAGTACACCATCCCATAACAACGCTGGGTAAACGAGGTATAGTTGCTGTACATGATATTGATCATCCATCACTTGACCACTCACCCTGGGACTCTGCCCTCCTCTGGCCTTCTCTAGAATACTCCACCCAGTGCCTCTCAGGCTCTGGGACTCTCTAAATCTCAAAGATCTGTGTCCAACACCAAAATCCCTACTCAGCTGACTTGGCATTATGCAGCCTCCGCTGGTCATTTATCCAATAATTTAACCAGAGTGAGAGATCAGGGCTACTACGCATTTACATCTAATGAGTAAATGGTGATCCCCCAAACATAGCCAAGTCAGACCACTGGGCTAGCAGATTTGGGAGTACAAACAGAGCTGGGGGGCCACACTCCTGAAATGACTCAAGGTAAGTGCTCACAGCCCCCACTTTTTTTGTTCCATGTAACTATGATTACGCCTGATCAGGTTGCAGTCAAGGAGGGAAGGCAACACAGTAGCCTTTACTGTGGACCTACTATGTGTAAGGTCCTGTGCTAAGGGTAATGTGGACGACAAGATGAACAAGACAAGATACCCGTCTTTCAAGAAGTTTTTACCAGGGAAGAAAAGACAAGAATCTAAGTAATTATGAAACCAAAAAACCAAACAAACAAAGCATGCAGAACATAACCGAATATGATGTGCAAATCCTCTGATTGTTTAGGCCGATATTCAACCACTCAGATAGCAAATAAATAGATGAATTTTTTATCTCTCTTCTGTGACTGTCTTTAACTATTATTTTAAATTTTTATGATTATTTAATTTTTTTTTTCCTCTAATGTCAGGATCTCTGGGAGATCATTGGTGGAAGAAACTCTCCCAAGCATTTTATTCGTCTTAGCATGTATCCTAGTCTGGGCATTATTGCCTGGTTTTGAGTCTCGTCAGGGTCATGTCAGACATCTCCAGTAGTGTCTTTCGTAGCAACGGCAGCTTTGGGAGATTTGAGGGAGACTGAAATTATGGTTTCATTTCAGGCTACCATCTCAGCAAGAGAACTCTGCATCGTAGATTTGCAGAGATGAGAGGAATCTTAGAGATTTTTTGGTCCATCTCTCGTTTTACAGAAGGAAATGAGAGCCCAAAGAAACCACAGCAGCTACTTAACAAAACTGATATTAGAAATCTGACGTCCTATTGCCAAGTTTTTTTTTTTTTTTTAAGCTAAGGACTCAAAATAAAATATGTTTTAATTTATCTTTTTCTGAGAAATCCGTGAGAATTTTAAGATACAGCTGGAGATTATTAGAAACTCAGAACAGGAGACGATAGGAGGAAATCAGAGTAGTAAACCAAGTATTGAGTGTTTTCCTCCTGCCTAAATGGGGTTTCATGACCCTTTCTCCTGGTTCCACAAATGTAAACCAACCAGATGTTGTTGAGTCAACTCCAACTCACAGTGACCCCATGTGTGTTAGGGTAGACCTATGCTGTATAGGGTTTTCAATGGCCGTGACCTTTTAGAAGCAGATCACCAGGCCTTTCTTTCAAGGTATCTCTGGTTGAACTCAAACCTCTAACCTTTCGGTTTGTAGCCAAGCTCTTAACCATTTGTGCCACCCAGGTAGCCTTCGACAAAAGGAATGTATGATAAATGTAGAGTTTAAGTTAAATTTTATATTGAACGTTCTTTAGACTCTCATGGCTTCCTGAGGTAACCAAGTAAGTCATAAACTTCCAGAGCTGAGAATCCTTAGTCCGTGTTAAGTTTTCAGCATCCTGCCTTAATCTTCTCTGGGAGAATTTAAGGTATTCCTAGACCTCTTAAAGAAGTCTTTGCCCACAGTCCACAACTTTTCTCTCATTGCTAAAAGAATTTGATCACTGGCTTGAAGCATCCAGGTTGCAATCTGGATCATTCTTCTCCTTTCTTTCTCCCCTGACCCCTCAGAGCTCCCCCTCCCCCAGAAACAACATCCCTCTAAATCTCCTTAATATTTCATTTTATACGCTTGCAGAATTATTTTTACTCTTATTCTTCCTTGTTCGAAGATTTATTTGAGCATTTCTGTTAACCCTAACTAAATCTGACATTCCAATAGGGAGGACAGAGCTTGTACCATATTCCTCTTCACACACCCTTTAAGGATCTGGCAGGTACTTTGCATGCAGAAGGTACTCAGAAAAGTGCTTATAAATGTTGTCATTTACCAGTTATTTAAAGAATGCTGGTTTATCAGAAAGTAAATGCAAAATGGCGAATTAATTTCCACCCGCACTGTCCACTGTGCACCTATTTAAATGTAGATAAACTTGGAACAAATGCAGTTTCTATATTTACGTAAACTCTTTGTAGCTCATTTGTTTTTGTTTGTTTGTTTGCTTGCTTGCTGGTTTTTGATTCCCTGAATCATCTTCATGAAGACACTTCATTCCTGAAGGATTGATCAAGAAGGTAAGAGTTGCATTCATCTGGATCTTGATTGCAATAACTGTAACTAGCAAACATTGTTTTTCATGTTTTCATTCTTGCCACACTCATAAGGAGCTGAAATTGGCTGAACTGCAATCAATTACTTAAGTATTGTTGAAGGCAGATCACAAAATATGCAGGCTTTTATCAAAAGAAAATGGCTTCCCAAATTTGCTTACCTTTTATACCAAAAGGTGTGAAAATGCAGTACAGAACTTTATTTGATGTGCAAGCTCCAGGATGATATATTAGTTGGCCCAGAGCATGATGTTCATAAGGTCAAGAGTGAGTCTTCACACACAGATTGATGTTGCTGTTTCTTGAGCAGAGTCTGTGCCCCTGAATTCACCCAGCTGTGCCTTTAGTTACAAGCAGTGCTAACAGAGTAGGGCAGGATCAATGCAAACTCTCCTCAGGGTAGTAATAAACAGAGGAACAAGCAATATCCTTTCCCCCAAAAAATGTGGGTTCGTTAGAGGTGATTTTGATGAGTTAAGACCAGAAAACATTCAAGTATAATTGAGTCACAACCGCACTGTTGCTGACAAGAGACAGTGGCTGGGAAATTCCCAGGAAAGGGATGTTGTGATCCATTGACAACAAACAGAGAGAGGGTAAGAAGGATTTAAAAGGGGGAGATGGAGGTCCGGTGGGCTGGGGCGTCTGTCTCCATTGGAAGACCCTTAGAGACAGGCACAGAGGAGTGGTTGAAGGGACCCCTCTGTGCAGCGTTGGAACAGGTCATGCTCTCAGAAAAAAGAAGAGGTTAATTAAAGGAACTTATGGGGGTACAGCCCAGGGGACACTATGAGTCACACCAAGAGAGTTGAGTCACATTGAACGAGGCAAAATTTAACAGCCAAGAATTAACCGTTTTACCCTTGGGTCCCAAAATACGGTTGAATAAATATAGGGAGATTTGACTTAGCAACCGCATGCACAGGGAGGATTGAGGGGCTTTGCTTGACAGTGAGCAGTGAGTCAGCAGTGTGATGCGGCTACCAGAAGGGCAATCACCACCTCAGGCATCGTACCTAGGTCAAAAGAGATGAGGGACTCACTCTGATGGAGGGTGCCATGTTGTTTGGATATCACACTTTCAGAGAGATTAACAGGCGTGGGTTCAGCGCAGAGTGACTCGGGGTAAACGAGATTCGGAAACACATCGTGCAAGAAACAGATGAAGATGCAGTTGGGGCTATTTGGCTTGGAGAAGACAGAGCTAAGGGGAACACAAGAGCAGTCATCAAATGGGTGAAGAGTTGTCTTGTGAGAAGAAGATTTGGACTTGTTTTGTTGCCACCCAGAGCTTAAATGAGATTTAATCATCCTGAAGTTACAGAGATGACTAGCTCAGAGCGAGAAGAAACTTTAGCCTGTCAAACCTGGCCAAAACAGAAAGGGTTGTTCCTGGAGGTGTTCAAGCAGTCTGGGCAACACCTTTGAAAGAACATGGCTGAGAAAATTCAAACATCATTAGGTAGTACAATTATGAGACGTGCTCTGTGTCATCATTAGACTCATGTGTAGAAGGACAGAAACCTCCTTCTGAAAACTGGTAGAGTCTTGTTTTTTAATGAAGCTTAAAAATATAGTTCAATGATTAGTTATTTTAATCTTAACTTCAGGTTTTTTCTACTGTCACGAATTTTTTGAAATACCCACTTAACACCAGTACTATTCATTTACTTAATATTTTATTTACATTGATACATTTTTTTCTTAGATTTTTTTAAAAAGATAACTTTATATCCTTGCTATGAAGCTGTGATCCATGAACCAGCTACATCAGCTGAGAAATTCTCAAGCCCTACCCCAGAACTACTGAATAGGAATACACATTTCAACAAGATTCCAAACTGGATTCACATGTACATTAAAGTTTGAGAAAACTAGTAACTACTTGCCATGAAATCAGTTCCTTCTCATGGAGACCCCGTGTGTTGTGGAGTAGAATTGCTCCATAGGGTTTTCATGGCTGTGACCTTTCGGAAGCAGATCGCCAGACCTTTCTTCTGAGGCTTCTCTGGGTGGGTTTGAACTGCCAACCTTTCGGTTAGTAGTCAAGCACTTAACCATTTGTGCCACCAAGGGACTCCTAAAGTTTGAGAAACACTGCTTTGTATCACTACCACAAACGAATATAGCACACTTCCTAAATAGGAAGCATATATTTTATCAATTTTAATTTTATTTACATTTTTAACAAAATGTTCTCTCTTAAATTGGCGTACATCTTATAATCAATGAATGGAGTATCACAGTTTAATTAGTTGCATTTTTTTCTTTCTCTGTGAAATATAAAATAGTTTGTCTTGCTATTAGTGGCATCTTAAATTTTGGTAAGAGAATACACTTTATAAATAATCATATGACCACTAAAATTAAGAAATATTTGCATAAAATATTTTTCTGTACAACCAACAGTACTGTGTCATGGTTTTCCAAAGAATGACTTCAGAAAAGCAAAACTGTGCTTTTAACTGGTGGTTCTCAAACATCACCCTGAGGTCATTGCAAAAAATCAGATCTCCCCACACCCACCCCCACCAAAAAAAAAAAAAAAAAGCACCAGGGTAAATATTTCTGGTGTGGAATTTAAGATAAGATAAAAAACTCAAATTATAAAGCAGATTGTCTGACACCAAAAAACAAAAAAATCGTATTCCCTCTACCAGCTGAAAGTTGGTGATTTAAACCTAACCAGAGGTGCCTGGGAAGTAAGGTCTGGTGATCTGGTTTTGAAAACGTCACAGTCTTGAAACCCTATGCAGCAGTTCTACTCTGCACATGTGGAGTTGCCATAAGTTGGAATTGATTCGACGGCAACTAATAGCAACAAGCCTTCCATCAACACTTTGAGCACGAGCTTAAAACTGTTGCGTGCCATTGAGTCGATCTGGACTAGTCAAGCTAAATAATATGAGGGCATAAACCTGTAACTTGCCAAGATACCCTCATACTATATAGTGCAACAGTTCTCAAAGTGTGGCCACAGATTCTTGGAGATCCCCAAGAATCTCTCAGGAGGTACATTAGATCGAAACAAGTTTCGTAATAATGTTGTTGTTGTTAGCGCATCGAGTCTGCCTGACTCAGGGCCACCCTGCACAATGGAATAAAACGCTGCCAGGTCCTGTGCCATACTCATGATTGGTTGTGGATCTGACCATTGTGATCCATAGGGTTTTCACTGGTGAATTTTTGGAAGTAGATCACCAAGCCTTTCTTCCTAGTCCATCTTAGTCTGGAAGCTCCACTGAAACCTTGTGGCACATGGGTGGTGGTTGCACATGAGGTGCATTGGCCAGAATAGAACCCCAGTCTCCGGCATGGAAGGGAAGAATTCTACTGCAGAACCACCAATGCCCCCATTTCATGGTAATACTAAGATGTTATTTTCTTTCTTCACTGTGTTGACTTAATGGTGCAAAAATAAGGTTGGATAAAACTGCTGGCACCTATTACAAATCAAGGCATGGTACCCAGCTGTACTAGTAAACCCCTGTTGCTGTCAAGTTGATTCCAACTCACAGTAATCCTATAGGACGGAGTAGAACTGCCCCATAGGGTTTCCAAGGCTGTAATCTTTACTGAAGCAAACTGTCACGTCTTTCTCCCATGTAGTGCTGGTGGGTTTGAACTGCTGACCTATTCATTAGCAGCCAAGTCTTAACCACTGCACCACCAGGTCTCCTTTAACTGTACTAGTACTCACTGTAATCTTTACAGCCCATACACCCACACTAATAAAAAGTAAAATTAAATTTAAAAATTTAAAAGCTGGTTTCACTTAAAAATGACTTAAAATTCACAGCAGTAAAAAATAATAGTTTTATTCAATCTCCACTCTACAACATCTTTTTAATATTCTGTGTGCTAAAATAGGAAGTCCTCAATAAATCACTCCTGCTATATACCAAAAGTCACATACCAGTTTGATGGTTGTCCTGAGGAAAAGCACACGTGCAGTTAGTTGTTTGAGCTGCAAGCTGAACTAGGCATTTTATTCATGAAGCACCATTTTTGCTCAAAAGAGTGACAAACAGACAAACTATAGTTACTCAGACTTGGGTATTTGGCAGACAACATTTTTGAAAAGGAACAAACTGTGCTTGTCACTTCAATCAAAACAACTGACAGTATTTGTGAGTAATGATAAATTTGAGCTTTAGAGCAAAAATTAGAATTTCTCAAAACTTGTAGTTGCCACCCTAAGCTTGACAGATTCCTAATACTTAAAGAATTTTCTGATGAGATTAGTGCTGATATAAATGAACGTGATTTTTTTTCTATCGTATAACAGAAAGTGTCAACATTTGAAGTTCTGAATGACTCAATGAACCAATATTTTCTAAATGACCGATGTGTGATGTTCATACATGGATAAAAGAGCCAGTCAGAGTGCAGGACAGACCCATGGATTGCAATGTGAGACAGTACGTCGTTAATACGAGATTCAACTTCACAACTAGCCTTTAAAAAGCTACCACCTGTCAAGTTTTGGCATAGCATCAAAGAAGAGTATCCACAATTATTTGAGAAAGCTATTAAAATACCCTTTCCTTTTCCAGATTACATAGCTGTGAAAAGCAGATTTTCTACATTTACTTTAACCAAAATAACATAGAGCAATGGATTGAATACAGAAGCAGACGTGAGAATCCAGCTGTCTTCTGTTAAGCCAGACATAAAAGAGATTTTTAGTAATGAAAAACAATGCTACTCTTCTCACTCCATTTTTTATGTGCAAAATATAGGCATTTTTCATAAAATATATGTTGTCTAAATCGACATGTAATGGATTTAATAGCTATTTGAAATAAATTAATACGTATTTTTAAGTTTTCTCAGTTTTAATTTCTAATATGATAAATATCAGTAGATTTGGCCAACATAAACAAACTCTCTGGGTTCTCAATAAGTTTTAAGAGTGTGAAAGATCCTGAGACCACAACATTTGAGAAATGCTGCTGTAGTAAAATTTACTTTAGTCACGCCACTAGGACTACGCTTCAAGAAATCAAAGAGGAAATCAGTATTGGATTAAATCTTCTTCATCCCCAGGTAGTAACTGAGGAACGTTAAACCAGCATGATGATTACAGGCCAGGAGCCTTCTCTGGGGGTGCTATACTGAATTCCAGTCTCTTTCTATGAAAACTTAACCACAGACCCACAGACTGTTCAACAGAGCCACTGGCCAAAAAAAACTAAAA